CTCTCTAAGATACTCAACAAAGATCGTTGTGATTTGAGCATGTAAAACGCTTTAAGGATTTTATATACGAGTCTTATTTAATTTTGATCATCTCCAAATTTTATAAATGTAATATTTTGTAACTTCTGGGTTGTTGCGCCTGGTAGACTGGTAGAAGTTTTCGCGACGTTTCAGAGGTCTTTGCTGCCTCCATCATCTGATCACTCATCGCCCTAATGATGGAGACTCCTACCAGACTACACGGCGCAAGAACCCAGAAGACAGCCATCTTCATACTCACCGCCGTGAAATCCTCAAATACTACTAAATGTGGTCTCAGTGACTGTTCTGTTGATGCAGGCACGTTTCAGTAACAGCAAATTTAAATACTTACAGTCGATAATGTAATTCCAAGAATTAGAAACGAAGTTTAACACCTTTCATTATCCAAGTCAAAGGTAGCAGTTCTGAAATCACTCGCTGCAACAAGGAACTATTTTCAAACTTACCAATTCTGAGGACACGGTACAATATACCATTTTCAGCAGTTTATTCTGTTTTGTCATCAGTATTCAGAATCAGAATTCTTTCAAAATACCTTCAGTGAAATGTCTTCAGCCCAACATTGCCTATGATTAAGAGTTTATGTCTGAGTTTTCTTTGTTTTAAAATTTTATATCATTCTGCCCCTCTGCCACAGACCAATTCAATTTCGTTCACTTACTAAAGTCAGTTGTGGCAAAATTAATAAAAAAACAGTTCAGTGTCTTTTATTCTTTTTTGTCGACTGTGGTATCAAGTACTGAACACCAGAACTATATCGTAGGATGAAAATTAACTTGATTTCACAACATAACAGTGGCACCAAAAAAGAGACTTCAAGACAAAGGAATACTGTAAATGTATACGTGGTTCGTGGTGTGACGACAGGGGTGGGTTGATTGATAGACAGCGTTGTTACCGACTGGCCTCCAGATCGTTCTTAAAGTAGTTTTATGATATGTTGATAGATGACACGACAACGTTCGTGACGTCATAGTCCACGTTAGTTGCCAACGTATAACATTGAGATGCTTATGTGTATGTTGGTATTGCCTTTGTTATGGATAATTTAATTGGAACGATGATTTGTTTAAGACGGTGAAGTAGACATTTATTAGAATAATAAATGATTTGTTTAAGGTGGTGAAGTAGACATTTATTAGAATAATATTAAAAACACTTCTTCCTTAACATGGGTACTGAAAATGAATTGAATGCAGACGTGAATAATATTATGACAGACTTCTACAAAATCAAAGAGGTTGACGAGATTTCTTGTGGTATTATTTATTTATTAACTTGCTGTTAACAGTATTGTAATAAATTGTTTCTGCAAATTTTCAGTTTTATTTGAAGGAGCAAATGCTTCGTCAGAAGTACGAAGGAATTACAAAACACTTGCAGGAAGAAAACAAAGTCGTTCAAGACTTAGAAAAAACTTTACGTAGTAAACTGAACATCAGTCGAGAGTTAGTACTTCAACAGCAAGACACCATTTCAAGTCTTCTTGATGTCAAAAGTACACAGAAATATAACCCTTATTTGAGTATTTAAAACGAAAGATGTCATACGAGATCATAATTTTATTTTTCGATTTTGCAGGTGAAAATATAAGATTATCAGAACACATGAAACAACTTGAAGCAAGTTTGGCTGACCTGAAAAGAGTATGTCGGAATTATACTATTCTTTCAATTCCACAATGACTTTGACAAAATAAACTGTTAGGACAGTAGGTGTACAACAGTTTTAAGTTAGTAGGTGTTAGAAACATGAACAGACCCTTTAAGGTACACTTTTTTTCTGTCCAGCCTTTCAAATGTTGGTTTTCTGTTGCATCCTTTCATGCATTGTATTTTAAGAGCTAGTTACGGCAGACAAAATATGGCAAAAGGAGGAGTGACTATTTTTATCAAAAAGAATCCAAATTAATCAGTTGAGTGTACTGCATCAGTGCAAAGACCAAGACGTAGAATTAAGTAGGACTTCAGTTTTTCATGGTGGTGAGTCTGAGGACCTCTGAAATCTTAAAACTTTGCATACCGTGTAGTGTATTAGAACATAAAATAAGCAAACAAACAAACTAGTAACACTATAAAAAGACACTAGTGCCAAACGCGTTTCAACCTCAAGAGTGTTACTCCACACCCACGCTTCGTTGGAGTTCACACGTACGGGCGACGTAACCATGGCTCGCCGCAGACCAGCTACGGCCACCGGACCATTGGATCAATAGCTAAGTGCAGAGTTCAACTCCTGTGAAACCAACATCTAGTGTAATGCTTTTGTAAAATACTCTACTTCATGATTTGTTTTCTGAACCAATTTTAAACCATTTTGACTAAATGAATTAATTTCCCCTTTTGCTACTGATGATGACCTCTTGAGGTTGAAACGTGTTTGGCACTAGTGTCTTTTTTATAGTGTAAATAGTTTGTTTGTTTGCTTATTTTATGACCTCTGAAATGTTGGTAAACTACAGTTTTGTGGAATTTGAAATGCAGGTGGTCAGCAGACCTTTATGACAGAAGGCAACAAGTAGGAATGAAATCACAAGAGTCAAATAATAGCACCTATTCAGGTTGGGGCATTATAAAACATGGAGTTCCTCAAAGTTAAATATTTGGTCCTCTGCTTTTCTTCATATATTACATTGACCTACTGCCGACCATTAACATTCAGTCTAAACTCATAATTTTTGCAGGTGATACTAATCTTGTTATTTCACATCCAGAAATTGACTGTTTTCAAATTTAAATTAATGATGTCTTTGCTATCGTGTACAAATGAATTGAAGCCAATGAAATCACATTAAATTTTTACAAAAGAAATTTAATGAATTTTTGTGCAGCCAACAAAAATTATGTTCATCTGCTTACAGGTTATGAGAATAAAACAATTTTAGAAGTAGAAACAATTAAATTTCTTTGCCTACTAATTGACAATAATGGAAAACACATAATCAGTGCATTATCACTAACCTAAGCTCAGCATGCTTTGCTATGAGGACTATCACATAAACTTTTAATTAGTCTACTTTGGATATTTCCATTTGATCATGTCCTATGAATTTGTTTTCTTGGGAAACCCCAGCAGACAGCAAAATAATATTTCGATTCAAAAGGAAATTGTTAGAATAGTGACAGGCAGCAAAACAAGAGCCTCATATAGGCAATTGTTTAAGAATTCTGGAAAATGTGCTTGTTAAGTGTACACAATATTGTAGTCTTGTTTAATACAGTGAGATCATCAATATGACCAGTTTTTCAGACACTGCATACACATTCTAGTGAGATGTACATGTTTTGTTCAATGTTTTAATTTAGCAGTCTCTTGTGAATGCAGTAATGATCCTTCAGGTTGTGTGAAAGGTGGGAAATTTTTGAATAGCTCAATGAATATTAGCTTCTGAAGAAGGACTTTGCTCTGCAGAGTCTGAGGGCAAGATTCACACATCAGTATATTTTTTCTTCCTTTAATTATTTAATTAGCCAGCTGTTGTACAAAATATCAAAGAATGTCATTCTTGTCTCTTCTTATATACAGCAATTGGCAGATGAAAAAGAAAAATGGCACACTAATCAAGAAAAGATGAAATTAAGTCAGAATCATGAAATGGAAGAACTGAAATCAAGCTGTGAGAAAAGAGGTAAGTTTATTTACCAGTTAGAGTTAAGAGTTTATTTACATTCCATACAAACTTCTTTGAGGTAAACCGAAGGATGTAAAACATGTAATAATACAAGTAAATTTATATATAAACTTAATAATTCTAAATACAAGTATAAAAACGTGTTCCACATATACATAAAGATTAAGAGTTTTCAGCAGATGTAAAATCATCTACAGAGTATGAGTGAGTTAAGAGGTTATCTGTTAAATCAGGCTTGAATACTTTCATATCATGATTTAAACTGTTAAATGTAGGTGGAGTATTATTGAATAACTTGATACCTATGTAGTATACTCTTTCTTGATATTTAATAAGGTTAATATTGTGCATTTGAAGGTCATATTTATGTCTTGCATTTAAATTGTGTACATCTGTATTTCTTTGAAAATTGTTAAAGTTGTCCACCAGAGTATGAATTCACTTGCATGTGGAAGTATAGTAAATTTTGAAAATAATTTTCCAGAAGAGGTTCTGCTTTTAACACCTGCCATTATTTGGACCATTTTCTTTTTGAATGTAAAATATTTTTTTACTGTTTGTTGAATTTCCCCAGAAGATTAACCCATATGATGGTACAGAGTGGAAGTAAGCAAAGAAAACTAATTTTAAATTATTTATTGTCGTGAGTGGTATGACTTTCTTCATGGCAAAGCATGCAGAGTTTAGTTTGAGAATAATAAATTTAATGAGTTTCTTCCAATTTAAATTATTGTCAATTTGTAAGCCAAGGAATTTGATTCTTCTTCCTCAATTAATTTATTGTCAAAACCTACGTTTAAACTGGGACATATCTTGTTCTTAGCGGCAAATTTTATATATTTTCTTTCATCAAAATTTAGTGTCAATTTGTTAGCTTTAAACTATTTGTTTGGGTTGGCAAAGACATAATTCATGATATTTTAAAGACTGTACATTTTGGATGTTTAATAATGTTACTTGTATCAGGAGCAATGAAAGTAGGTTTATATTGACAGTTTATAGTTGCAGGCAGATCATTGATGGATGAGGAAAAGTAAGGGATCAAGTACCAAGCCTTGCGGCAATGACCCATTCTGATTAGATATTGTGATTGGTAGGGGGGGAACTAATTTTACTTTCTGCCATCTGTTATTTAGGTAAGATTTAAACCACTGGCCTGCTATATTTCTGGGTTATGTTGGCGTGGCTCTGAATTTATGTCTGAGAACATCTGCCATCCTATAGGTTAAATAAGAGACAGTAGAATAATTCCATTCCTTCATATGATATTTTACAGCATTGTTTGGCTATCAGTTTTAAAGCATAACTTAAATTTCACTTTGAGAAGAGTGATAATAGTTTCTAAGAGTCCTTACATTGTAAATCTGTAGCTAGCTTAATGAGGAGTAGAGGCATTCCACAACAGATTCATCTAGTTCTTCTACACATTTCTTGTCTTATTTATTCAGTAATGGAAGCTGAGAGAGAGGTAGAGGTCATCAAAGCAAAGTTTCATGCACAGTGTTCTGAACTGGCTAAAAAGTTAGAAAATATTCAAAATCAAAATTCTAATGAAATCAATATAATTGTGCTTGAATATGAAGAACGTTTGCATAAAATGGAAGAGCGATTAAAAGCAGCTGAAGCCGAAAGTCAACAGATTCGGGATCGAGCTGCTACTGATGTTGTTCTTTATCAGAAGGTTAGTAAATAATTGTTTTTTTAAGTGTTGCCAATTTTGTTTGAAGAATTGCATCAGATCACTGAAAGGCATGGTACTGGTAAGGTTAATTATAATTAGTTTTTTACCTAAGCATTAACATGTACATGTGCATAAAACTCCACAAGTTCTAGCCTTTTTACCTAAGCATTAACATGTTCATGTGCATAAAACTCCACAAGTTCTAGACCTAAATAGAGGCAAGAGCTTTATATATCCCATTACCCATTTGACATGAACGGTATGGACCACATGGTCAAGTGAAAAAATACAAGTACTGCCAGAATTCAAACCACAAGTATGATGAATATTCCTGAAAATAGACTATGACATTCACTTGTTTTTGTTTGTTTTTTTACCATTTTTGATATTTAAACATTTTATTTTATTTGTGCACAGTTAAATTTTATGTAAAAATTTTGTTCTTCTCTACAGAAAGTACTAGCAATGGAACAACAATACAATAACATGATACAAGAGAAAGAGATATTACCACCACCATTTTCTCCATTGCCACCCAACTCCTCAGAAAGTTTCAAACCTGGAACAAGAAGAAGAAGAAACAATCCATTCCAGTATCACATTCCTTCTAGTGTAAACCAAAGCCAACCTTCAATAATTCCTTTACATTCAATTTTAAAGAAAACATCAGTTTATGATTCAGCACAATCTTCATCTGATAAAGAAAACATATTACCCTCACTAGATGATTTTGCAGATTCTGAGAATGTTGGTACTGGAGATGGTAAACCAGTGGAATACAGTACTTTAAATATCTGTGCAAAAGCATCTTCCACTTCTTTTATGACATCAGTGTCAACAAATAGTTTTGTTGATAACAGCAGCGTTGCAACTAGAAATTCCATTATGCCTCATTTGCAGTTTGTGACTGAACCAGCAGATCTTGATACAATTGCTAATGGTCCTTTAAAGCAGGAGTCTAATCAATCCTTAGAGGGAAAGAAAAGAAGATTTGTGCCAGCGAAAAAACGAAAATTATTTTGTTGTAATGCTAAAGATACATTATGAAGGGGATAGTTTGTAAAAGAATAAAATGTTCCACATTATTTAATATAGTAAGCCCATGTTGAGGTAGGCAGGAATACTTCAGACTAGTCTGGCATTCTGGCATTGCTTTGTAACTTACTAATTTGTATATAAGATGTATTCTGATAATTCCTAAACGACTATTAAAAGTTGTTGTATCGCCTCCAGAAATTATCTCTTAAGTACAGGATATTCAGCATATTATGAATTGAAAAGAGGAAGTTATAACCTATTTTTAAGATAGTATCCTGGCACTACTAAGGAAAATCATGGAATAGCTCAGAATATGGTGACTCAGGAATGATATTTGAACCATGGTAAAGGTAAAGTTGTCCCTGTGCTGAACAGAGCATCACACCATGCAACAGTTGTCCCTGTGCTGAACAGAGCATCGCACCATGCACATATGGGGAGTGGAGGTATAGCTCCATGCATTCTTAACCTTGGCAGTGGTCGGCTTCATTTCTGGGCCTCAGGGTCAGTCTGGATGTACCTTCTGACTGCAAGGCAGTGTGGTTGCTACTACATTGTGACGTTCATTAACTGTAAGGAGTATGTCCAGTATGAGATTCAAATACTGTACTTTCTTGGGATGAGAAGTCCTTGTTGCATTCTCACAGTAATGAGGAGAGAAAATTTATAGTTGCTGCTGACTGATATGTTTTGCTTTTGATTATAACTATTAGTTGACTGAGTCACTGTATATGACGGAATTAACTTGCAACATTGTTTAAAGTACAGAGTTATGACAGTTCATGATTACATTTCCATTTTAGGGGCTATTATCACATAGGCCACTGTGATGTGAGTAAGCTGAGGTTGCCTTTAGCCAGCAAACTCTGGATCTTTCATCTTGTTAAACCAGTTTTCAACACTGATACTGATTGAAATGCATGCAAAACATTCAGAAGCGTACAAAGTGAAAAATCATGAGCATTCCTCTGTTTCATTATTCTTTATCTCCTCCTCTTTCAACTAATAGTTTATTATTTCTGATGTGCTAGTCACTTAATGCTGTTTTGCACACTGGTTGCCATGCTTTTGCCTGATCTTATATCCTTATTTTCCCCACTGTATTCCTTACATAAGATACTTAAGTTATTTTTACAACCTTTATTCTGAATATTACCTTTGTCAACGAGGATTGCTTTATAATATCCATATGTTTCCAAGAAAACTGCTCTTGATCATGTATTATTTGCCTGACTGCTCCTTCCAAACCATCCTCTACTTAGTGTCACCTCTTTCACAGTTTTTACATGATTTTATACCCAGTCAGTAATTTCACATTTTTGATAATTGTAAGGAAAATGCTGATTCCCATTATTAAAAAAATTATAATTGTCAGCATGGCCTATGATGATTCACACATTTTTAACTTCACAGTAATGTTACGATTTGCTCGATAAGCTGTCATTTTTAGCTGAGCTAAACCACTCTTAGACAGTCACCATAATTATTTCAAAATTATACAGTTTGCACTGCTCCTGTCATCTCATTGCTGAAACACACAATTTTGGTGTGTGTTCTTTCATCTTTAGTTTCTAGGGTACAAGACACATCTTCATCAGAATTCGAACCAGAATTGGATTTTCAGGTTTGTGACCTTTGGTTTTGTAATGTCGTTACTGCAAAAAGCAATTCTGGTATAGGTGCCATTCTTCTATCATACTTAGTTTCCAACTTACGCCATCCTCAGTATGACTCAAGCTCAGAATAACTTCTGAGTTTTCATGTCTCTAAATTCTTTTCTTGGTTTTGAGGTATAAGCCCCCCCATTTACAAGAGACCATCCTGCAGCAGTGTTTAAACACAATGGTAATATTCTACTGATTATGCAACAAAACACAATATCTGCATTAAATCATCAGTGTTATTACTTCAGAACTTGGTGGTATCAAGTTAAATTCTACGCCATATACTAGATGAGCCATCTTATATATAAAATTCTAAAGTCAGACTTATAATCTTTATGTTGAACACCATCAGCTGTAAATAAAATATGTTAAGAGTATATATATGTTACATGATTAAAATGTAATATATGTGACAGAAATATTTATGTTGTGTGAAACTGTTTATAAAAAGGTATTAGATTGTGTGTATAGTATGAAGTATTGTGGTTGATCCACACCGAAGTACATGTGGTAGAGTTTGTATGCAGCAATACTGGTACATAGGATATGAACAATCTCTAGCAGTCAAATCAGGACTGAGTAGAAATTGTGCAGAGCAGAGGCAGTGGGCTTGTCACTCACTATTCCGAAATGAACTTCGAGACTAAGTAACCTCCAAAAAAAGAGGTGGCGACCCACACGGGGTTGTAGAGCTACAGGAAGAAGAAGAAAGTAAGTCTACCACAACTGGTCATTGCCTTAAAAATATTTAAACATTCTTTTTATTGTATTAAAAATGTCTCTGAAGTCTGCAGTTCAGGATTGTTGAATCAGGCACAAGAATTCAAGAATGAAACTAATGAACCAAAAAATTTTATGTAGTTCGTCATAACATCACTGCTACCCTACCAATACATTAAGAATATTCACCACTGGCAGTGAAGGGGTTAAAGGAAATAATTTTCATTATTACATTTGACTGGCAGTGAAAGGAAATAATTTTCATTATTACATTTTAACCATATAAATTCCTGATTCCCATTCATCTACAGTAAACTGTAGAAGATACTGAAAGTAACTATTTTATTTGCCTTGCCAATGCCGTCTGACAAGCAATTTTACTATTTTTAAAGTACTAATAAGATTTAAATAAATTAGTATATGAAAGACTCACTTCGCCATATTCTCTCATTTTTCAGAACAGATGTGGGAACAAGATGTCATTTTGTCAACCTATCCCTCCATTGAAATTATTGCACTCAGTCAGTGGCAATGTATCTGTCAAGAGAGTTCCAACTGAAGGAATAATCTATCTTTAGATGACCATACTTGCTGAGGCCAAAATGGTGAGGAGTGACTTGTATAGGCTTCGAACAGTAAATATCGTAGTAAGGATGTTGCAAATCGTCATGTGATGCCATGATGTATGATGGATCTGTGTTGCTGAACTTGCTGGGGTAACAGCCAGACACCAGCTGTCCATGCATCGTTCTTCGTGATCTAAAATCAGGTAAAATAGCAATATATAGTAATAGGTAAAGTCTATCCACATGCCTAAGTTCCACAACAAATCAGAATAGCAGGCGCATGAGCCGCCAGCCTGGGGCCCCCAATAAAGTTAATTTTTACAAAAAGTAAAAACAAACAAACACGAATTTTACTACGTAAAAATTACGATGATAAATATCAGGGTAATGCAAAGGTACTCGAGACCCGGGTGTAAGAAGAAATCAGGACCCCCTTACTTATTTCAGATAAGAAAATATTAAACCAAGCCGGGAGACCGGGCCACGCCAAATATTATATTTCCTTTCGTCTTATTGTGTGCAGGTTTCTGTATTTCTATGGCAACCAATGACAAAATTATATTATTATTTCTGATCAAAAATATTAAACGTTTTGTGCTTTATCGATCGGGGTCCCCTAGATTCGTGATGTGAAATGAGGAGCTACTTTTAAAAGGGCAGCGGACGCTGGTCACGAAAGCCAGAAACACGGCGATGGGAGTCGATGCGCTGACCACGTGATGACCCGCCAAAGCCGTATGGCTGGTCATCATACCCTCAGGGGCTGTTGCGACGCAGAGTTTAGTTCTGTATTGTTTATATTTCGCAGTATTACAACGTTTATGTTTAAACAGATCGGTAAAAATAATTGTTTTTTATGATTATATTTATGTTTTTTTCTCTAGTATTTTTAAAGGGGCCCCGAGAAGTGTAAGTACGGTCCTGTCTGTATATTATGACATTCTACTCTCTACTTTCCTGAAATCGGTAATATGCACATGATTGCTGTACTAATTTCTGACGTGGAAACAACTTCTGTGATTAAAGACAATATTAAAGTTTACACAAACATACACCCAAGTGTGTCCATACTTGATGGCAGCCACACCTTCAACACCATTGGGAAACCATTCCCAATTTTGATACAGAATAATACATAAGGCCCCCCTTAAAGTTGTAGGTTTGCGAGTACTGGTTTAATACTCGCAAACGTCCCTTCAGCCGCCAGTCCGGCCGCAATTAATAACTTTAATTATTAATCACCTTCCCTTCATCAGAAGGACATTGTGAATTAAGTAAGTTGGAGTGCGTCCACTCCCCATCTCTTACACAACAGCAACTCTCACCCCACAACTCAACCACAAAGAAAAATTCAAATACATAACATGTATTAATATGTGGGTCGCAGTGCTTTCACAAACAAACAAAAAAAAGCTTCCTTAGCTTTTTGTTACAAAGACCAAATTTCCTGTTTGGTCAGTGACAACGTTGAGAAGATCAAGTTCCATTTTTGATCAAATCTTTTTTCGAACCTCACACGGATTCAACTTAACAATACACAGACATCCGTACACACAACACATCCGTACACACCCAACACCCAGTGAATTTCAATACACGATGCGTAAGTTACAGCGCTCTTTCCAAAGCCTCTAAACTTTTCTGCGTGACCTTATTTACCTTATGGTCCGCGAACAGAAACATGAAAGACCAAGATCCAACCTTTGATCAATCATCGGTTCGAACCACACAAGGATTCATACACTCATCTTCTCTCGGCGTGACACGCCCCAGGAGAGCAAGAGAGCCACTAGCCTCACTACCAGGCATAAGCTTTAGATCACGTGTTTCGCTACGCAGTAGCTCGTGATCGAACTGGTGTTTCCCCGTCTTATCACGCAGCTAGCCTCTCACAGGGCATCCCATACTGCCTTATGGAACAGTCTAACTCACGCGATACATTCACCAAAACTCACAATTACTCTTTTCCATTTACACACTAACAAAAGAGTAATATACATGATTACACAAATACAATTCCAGTCAACCTATATGACGATACATACACGACAGTAAGATGAGGCCCTTTGTTACAACTGTGCCACACCCGATCACAAGCACAGCATACTTACAATTTCCAATTACTCACAAAATTACGACTCACACCAGAAAATAAACTATGTACACAAGTTGCCAATTCCGTCGACCATCGTATCAAGCGTATCGGACATAATTTCGAACCAAAATTGAGGACCAATGATTTTGAAGCCAGACAAAACATTACACACACCTGCCTGCTACGACAGTCGAACGGAAAGATAAAGACCCAAGCCAGGTCAGTTCTAATCACTTCTTCCCGAGACAAAGACAGGAGGGGGAAAGAACAGCTAATTGGTTAGTAATGACGTAAGGGTACATGGAGATTTCTTATCTGGAACGGTTTCTTGCGGTATCATCAACCTCTCGTAGCCAACCAAGTACAGTACAAATGCTGGCCGCCAGAGGTCATCGAAGGCCTAAACCTAAGAACGGTTCAGATTGTTTAATTGTATAAAACATGCACAGGAAGTCCCGGGGGGAAACTCCAAGAATTCATCAGTTGATTCTCTGGGCAATTACAAGTTAAAAATGTTATATCAACATGGATCTGATTCGTAACGGTTACTGAGATAATGCAGGTCTCTGCATTTGGGTAAAAAAATTGTGAATTGTGGTGTGTACCAAATATATGCACAATAAATACCACTATATTAGTCCAGATTGTTTTCAAAGTGACCACCTCCGTGTACAAGAACCATTTATGCGTAATCTTCGTACGAGGAAACTGCCGGCATTGTTTGAAATGTACGCTAAAACAACTCTGGGTGTTGGGATCTGCATAAGTGGTGATGCAGAGACCTGCATTATCTCTGTAACCGTTAACAATTAGACCCATGTTGATATAACATTTTTTACTTAGAATTGCTTCAAGAATCAACTGATGATGTCCTGACATTTCCTCCCCGGACACCTTGTATTGTAAATAAATTACTTTTTGGAGTTTTCTTCCTGTCTTCAGATGATTCATTGTCATTATACTAGCACATATTTCATCATTACATTTATTTATGTGGTGATAGGTTCAATCCCAAGTCCTTTAGGATTTTCTATCTAGTGTCAGCACAATGACCTGAAGACAGGAGCAGAGCCAACTCCCGAAGCGACGTCGGTTAGGTTCCAGTTCAATATTGTTATTACTCTTATTATAGGCACGTGAGGGTCATCACCTGTGGGTTGTCGTGAGGTGGCTGTTGGTGCTGTGTCTGCGTAGAAGAGTTGCAGCTGGCACTGAACCTCCCTGTGCACCGACGAGGTTTCCCTTCGGCAGGGCCATCTTCCTTTTCCTGGATCCTGTCTCGTACACGTAAACAAGGGACTGCTCCGAATGGTCGCTCGGTGCTCGTCTCAACATCACAGACGGTGAGTACAATTGACACTCGATCCGCTGGTTATAGCTTCCGCTGCTTCCGATGGCCGTGGAGTCGTCTGAATAAAGGGCTGCAGAATCATAGTCTTCACATGAATCACCAGCGTCTGAGATAGAAATCAAAATATGTTTTAATTACATTGCAGACGAAGTCTGTGTAAGATGGCCGACTGGTGGGTTTTGGTATGGGACCGCAATTCCTCCATGATAGAACCAGTTTTTTTAGTACCCCCGGTGATATGCGTAGCGAGGTCATTCCAACGCTTTACAACATCTAAATTCCAGGGTGTTTAATTCTTCTCTTCTGTTCATTTTACGTTCATACGCCATGTTTTATTTTCACGTAACTTCATTCAAGAAAATATAGCGGACTGAGGTCCGGTAATCACGGTGGCCAATTCTGCGGACCGCCGCGGTTAATAAATTGACCAGGAAACTATTCATTAAGATTCTTCGTCACGTGCATACTGAAACGTAAATACCGGTAATACACCGGTAATAAATCAGTATAATCATGTTTTACGCCTGTTCAATCTTCCGCAATTTCTGTCCGTAGTTCCGTAACAGTTGATTGTCAGACCTCTGTTCATCTGAAATGTGCCTGAGGAATACCTCAGGAATAATATTCTGACGTACTGTCTCGAAGTAACCGGTGTGTTGATATCTAAAACAAGTGAATTTGAGAGGACCGACAGACTCGTAATTAAC